TAAAGATTTAAATTGCTCAAGTGTTTGTGCAGATCTAATATTTAAGGGGAGACTATTCCAAAGTCTGGGACCTGCCACAGAGAAGGATCTATCACCACGGGATTTGAGGTTAGTCCGTGGGATGGACAGCATTAGTTTTGAGCTAGACCTCGTGGTTTTTCCTGGAGCATAGGCAGAGAGGAGCTCAGACAGGTAAGGAGGGGCTCGGGCATTAAGTGACTTAAAAACAAAAAGTAAAAGTTTAAATTGGATCCTGTAGGAGACAGGAAGCCAGTGTAAAGAAGCTAAAACTGGGGTTATATGCTCTCTCCGTTTGGTACCAGTTAGCAGGCGAGCAGCTGCATTTTGAACCATCTGAAGACGATGGATGGTGGCCTGATCTAGACCATAATACAATGAATTGCAGTAGTCCAATCTGCAAGTAAGAAAAAGGTGAATAACACGCTCAAAGACGTTAGCCGGAAGGTATGGCTTTACCTTGGCTAGCTGTCTTAACTGAAAAAAGCAGGACTGAACTACTGCACTCACCTGCTTATTCAATTTAAAAGAACCATCAATGTAGACACCGAGGTTTTTTACATGTGTTTTACAATACGAGGAAAAGGCGCCCAGAGTGCTGTCGATATGATTAACGTTGCCAAAAATGACAACCTCAGTTTTATTTTCATTTAGCTTTAAAAAATTTAATGACAACCACTGTTTGACATCATCAAGGCAGCGTAATAAGAGCTGCGGATGGTCTGACCCTGCTTTTAAAGGTAGATAAATCTGCAAATCATCAGCAAAACAATGAAATGAAATGCTGTACCGCGAGAAGATGGAGCCCAATGGCAACAAATAGAGTGCGAACAGGGCAGGACCCAAAATAGAGCCTTGAGGTACACCGTATTTAAGAGGGGCTATTTTGGAGTTGTGGGGGCCCATATTGACATAAAAAAAACCTTTCTGACAAATAGGACCGAAACCACTGTAGGGCAGATCCTTTTAGGCCAGCATGAAATTCTAGCCGTGATAACAGGATGTCACGGTCGACCGTGTCAAAAGCTGCTGACAAGTCCAACAATAAAAGGGCAGCAGGGCTGCCAGAGTCCAGAGTTAAAAGAACATCGTTAAAAATCCTTAAAAGTGCCGTCTCAGTGCTATGTAGTGATTTAAAACCAGATTGAAGTTTTTCAGAGATCATATTAGAATCAAAGTGTGCCTGCAACTGTAGGTAGACAACTTTCTCCAAGACCTCAGATAGAAAAGGAAGCTTTGAGATAGGCCTGTAGCTGGACAGAACAGGTGGGTCCAGGTTTTGTTTTTAAGAAGAGGCTGAACTACAGCTTGTTTAAAGCATGATGGGACGCAGGGACGTATTCATTAATCTCAGGATGAAAGGCCCAACAGTATTAAAAGTGCTTTTAAGCAAGCTTGGGGGGAGACAGAGGGGCAGTGTGATGATCTTGGGTTACTAAGTTTCTTTTCTTAACGGTATAAATGAAGGGTGCTGGATTTGCGCGCTGGGACGTACGGCTTATCTACCGAACAGCATTAGAGTGAACAACACAGGAAGATGATCGGAGATGCGCAACTCTGATATTTCCGTGATGCACACATCCAGCCTGTGGGAGAGCACCAAGTCCAGTGTGTGACCTTTTTCATGCGTGGGACCAGTAACCCACTGGGTCAAGTTAAAAGAGTCAACAATATTTAAAAAGTCCTTGACCAGAAGTTTAGAGTCACAGCAGACATGGATGTTAAAATCAGTTTTCCTCAAACGCTAAAACACATTTCACAAACATGTTCCCCAGTGTCTAAACACAACCACAGCTTCCCACTGCTAAAATCAAACTTTCACACCAAAAGAGCAGCTTTCAAAAATGTAAACACATCATTACACACTACAGCAAAACAATTGAAAACACAATGCTCAGTTTGTGAGAAGGTTCTTTGTTTCATAACTGCCAATGCATATTTTTAGCAACCACACAGTAACGGCTCGTCGTAGACCTCTGCAGAGGCGTTTAGATTTGTGAGTTTCATATGAAGAGTATAAATCTATAGAAAATCCTGCATGTACGTACACTACTGTAACACGACTCAATGCAAAAAAAGAATCTATTGCACACAACAGTACTCCTGAAAACATGGTCAGGGTGTGAAGTTTTTTTATTTACGTCATTCACACCACAGTGCGGCATCATGTCGCTGAGCTGCATCGGGCCACATCACCTCATCCACATCGCAGGATACATTGTCTCTTGCCAGGCACCGCGGGAAAACGCCCTGGAATGGCGAATCCATCCTTGGAAGGCCTCCGCTGGGATGTCAGCACAGGCCAGCTCCATTGCCCTGAGGAGGTTCTCTCTTGTGTCTGTCATAAACCTTCCATCTCCACAATGAGAAGAACTCCTCTATAGGGTTCAGGAAAGGGGAGTAGGGTGGCAGACAGACGTTTAAAAAGTGGTCACTGTTGGTGGTGAACCACTCTCTGATTTGGCTTGTTCTGTGGAAGCGGACATTGTCCCAAATGATCACATAAATGTGATGTGCAGGCCCAGGATGGTGTTGTTGGCGGTCCAGGAGGATGTCTTTTAGCTCCTCTAGGAAGGTGAGGAGACGTTGGGTGTTGTAAGACCCAAGGACAGCATGCCGGTGGACAAACCCCTCCGAACCCATGGCCGCACAAAGGGTAATATTACCCCCCTCCCCGTTTGCCAGGGACCTCAGTGATGGCTCTTTGGCCAATGACGTTACGGCCTCTTTGCCTTCGTTTCTGCAGGTTGAAGCCAGCCTCATCCAGGAAGAGGTACTCATGAGGCCATCGCGTCCAACTGTAATATCCTCTGTGACAATGCACAGGTGTTCAGAACAACAGTCAATCACAGGATTGTCCAGAAGTAATGTAGGCCACTGAGCAACACAGTATGTCCACTGACTGTACTGTGAACATGTATACTTACTTGCACACACTTGTAACGCAGGTCTTTGTGTCGCGCAGAGTGGCGCTCAAAGGGAACCCTATAGACCTGTTTCATCCGTGTCTTTTGGCGCCGGAGAACTCGGTCTATTGTGGCCAAGCTGACATCGTCAGTGCTCTCAAAGTTGACATTATCAGCAATGACTTTGTCTCTGATCTGCTGGAGTCTGATGAGGTTGTTCCCACGAACCAAATCCACAATGAGGGTTTCTTGTGCCGCTGTGAATATGGCAACCCTCCCACCTCTATGTGGCTTTCTTTCAACTCTAAAGAAACATGTGTTGTCACATGTGTTACAATACAGTCTGATGTGAAACCAATAGCCTACTTTCACAGGTTTGTAAAACTGTATTGTGACAAAGAAAGTGATCGAGTACCTGTTGTGTTGTCTGAACGCCCTGATAATGGTGGCAGTGGTGACCCTACTCAGGTTTGGACGGACTCAGTCCTGCTTCAGCCTTTGTCATGACACGGTCAATGACTGCTGCTCGCATCTCGTCCGTAATGATGGTGCGAGGTTGTCTTGCTCTCCCTCCTGGACCTTCTCCTCTCCCATGTTGGCCTCCTCCTCTTCCTCGTCGGCCTCCTCCTCCTCCTCGTCGGCCTGCTCCTCTTCTTCCAGGGCCAGCTCTTCTCCCTCCTCTGCATCGACTTCCTCCTCCCCTGCCGCTGCCTTCATCCATGGTGCTCAGGCATCTTCAGCATGCTGTGCACTCTGAACTTGCTTTTATACATGTGGTCACAGCATTAGCAACAGGTGTCTTCAATTTTGAGTCGCTGTGTGTAATGAATGACGCCAGGTGTGTTCATTGTGTTCAGATCTTGCTGACTGTGGCAAGCATGTTGCATCACATGAGCTTTCATTTGAGAATATGAGCAGAGTTCTTTTGCAACTTGTGTTTTAGGAAAGATGTGTTTAGATTTATGACAGCGGAGGATTGTGTTCTGTGACTCGTGTCTTCATGTGACATGTGTTTATGGTATTGGTAAATGATGGCTAGATTTAGATGTGTTTAGACAACTGGTCATTTGGTTTAGAGCATAGGTGTCAAACTCTGGCCCGCGGGCCAAATTTGGCCCGCAGCCTAATTACATTTGGCCCGCGAAGCCATACCAAATGACTATCAGAGCTGGCCTACTGGTATTATACAGCTAATATATATATTGTTTAGTATTAAGCTTTGCTTGTTCCATATTCAGTTTTTCAGCAAAACGTGTTTGAGTCCATAAGATTCATTCTTGTATCTGGAGGAATAAATATATTTCAATAAATATTCACGTTAGCCCGCGACTTTGTTCCAGTTTTGAATTTTGGCCCACTGTGTGTTTGAGTTTGACACCCCTGCTGTAGGTCAAACTATGCACTTGCAGTACTGCCTGTATAGGTGGCGCTCTAGAGCCATTTAAACTTCCACGTCCCGAACCAATAAAATACCGACATTTTCCAGACCAGACCTGACGTGTGCGCAGAAACCCCTGAGTTGTGAACATGTGTGTGCTCTCTGAAAGGCCAGTCGTTTACTAACATTAGAAGCTGCGCAGAAACAGGCAGCGCTCCGATCAAACACTCGCAGCCTCCCTCTAAGCTCCAAGCAAACTCTTCACACACACTCGCTGTTCTAAATGCCAGAACTGCGTAAAACCAAGGACCACCGTCAATGATATAATAAAACACGAGACGTGTTTTATTTCTTGCCCTCATCACAAGTCATTCAATAGAGAGAGAGAGAGTGGGAGGGGTAGGGGAGGACGCGAGCGCTCACAGCTGATTTCCGGCAACACGTTGCGTGAGTGGACGGTGCGGGAGGGGACAGGAGGACAGCTCTCACCTGCCGCACGCAACTTTTATCGTGTGCGTCTCAAGGACAGTTACGGTCCGCGCCGGGTTAGCGTGTCACGCAGCGTGGAGGATGGGACTGTAGTTTCGTGGAAACGCGCACCAAAATAAACACAGCAGCAGCACCGGGATCAGCGACACCGTGCCGAGGACAGGAGCATTAATCCGGGTAAAAGCACGCAGGCCGCGCTGATCGCAGCGATGATGAGAGACTCGGAGCGGCCCGAGCTGGAAGACGTGGCCGAGGAGGAGGACGTGCTCGCTGGGCTGGAACACTCCAGGAGCGCACAGGAGTCCGGTGTCTCTCAGGTGTGTGCTGCTCTCCTTCCATGCTTACCGCGTACAGGAGCCGCTGCTGCAGGCTGCCGGCGCCCGTGTGAGGCAGCAAGCTTTCATCGGAAACAACAGATGTGTTTTGATTTCAGGTACCCAAACAGAAAGAGCTGAAGGGGGCTGAGCAGCAGCTGGCGGTATCCCAGATGGAGGCAGAGTTCGTGCAGCTGACCTTCAGGAAGCAGGTGTCTTACAGGTAGGAAGTCTCCAAGCAGACCGGAGGAGTGAACGTGGCAACGAAACACTGATAGTCCCCACGTTGTCTGCGTGCTGGGACTTGCTGTGGAAAGGCACAGTTACACTTTAACAGGAGGTGAATTGTTACCCACAGTGAAGTGGTCACCTGACACGCACACTGTTCCAGCTTAAGATGAGGTTATATATGCTGTAAGGTGCGAGGTAATCAGTGGTAGTGCACACTGAGTAAGAGGCTGAGGTGAGCTTAGTGATTCTCTTCCTTGCACTTTCACCACAAATCCTGATGATTATGACCATGAATGTGACCTGGTGTGTTCTCAGTATAGACGTGATGGCAGCCATCATCAGGTACATGGACTGGTTCTCATTCATAGACGCACTCTTTTCCGTGCTTTCCAACATTCACACACACTCACACTCTGAATGGCTGAACGAGACGAAACCACCAACCTTCCAATTAACAGATGACCTGTTGTGCCTCGGAGCTACAACCACCTCCAACAGATTTCCCAACTGAAACTATTAAGACAATAAAAGCATGTGCACGACTTTGCTGCATACGAAACTGGCGCATGCACCGACTGGTGTGACAGAAGAGGACACTATGGAGGCTGAAAGAAGACGATGTACAGACATAACAGGCGTGTTTACAAACTGGCTTGAAAAATTGGAGGAATCAGAAAGAGAAGCAGTGAAACTGACGAGTTGATTGGTCTGGAGAGCGCTGCTGCAGGTGACTGCTGTGCATGTATGTGCGCCTCATTCAGTCACTCAGCCTGTTCACAGCCAGAGAAAGGTGACCGTAAGGGCTCCATTAGTTTAACTCGCTGTGTTTAGGATCAATGTTCGAATCCATTTCCTGGGTTACCAGGGTGACGCCCTCTAACACAGCTAATGTGATTGGTCTCCTGAAAAGGAGCAACAAGAGCAAAGTAATAAGTGAAGCTTGTAATCTAAAATCCATTTTACCATCTGATCCTTCTGTGTTTACAGAAACAGCACCACACTGGGCTGGCACTGTAAACTGGATTGTCCTTTTTGTTTTCTCATCAATGAAAGAAATAAATGAGTCTGTTGCCTTAGAAACTGCAGTTACGATCTGTTTGTCTTTAATCTGATTATTGGTCCTCGTCTCCAGCTCTCCTGTCACTACTGCAGCTAAAAACGTGCACTTCTATTAAACGCTGAGCTGGTGTCCAGTGTTTCACTGGTGTCAGGTTGTGTTTTAGTTTTTCCACCTCCCGATCAGGCCTCGCCGACACATGCCGCTTGTACTCAGGGTCGTGTCGGGGAGGATAAACAGCAAGCGCTCCACGTGCCCGAGATGCACCGAGCAGGTCTGGGTGAGGAGAACAAAGTCAGATCTTCAGATACAGGAAGTGAAAGTACTTTTACATCAGTGTCATGATAATGCACAGTGAAGTCACGTGTGCTGCCTCCTTCACGCTCTCTGCATCACTACAGCCTGATAATAAATAGCGGGGCATGCTGTGAGCTACACGCGTGAAAAGGTGACTGCAGACATGTCTGACCTCATTTTCCTGATATGATTCTCGGCCTGTTGCCGGTGAACCAAAGCTGATACGGAGCGACGATCTGAGGCGGTGGGCAGGCGTCTGTTTTCCTCACGAGCTCTGCTGTCAGATATGAATGCTCTCCAACTTCCTTCAGCTACTGACGGACTTGCTGTTGATGTATTTTGAGCAGGACTGCAAATAGCAATGCTTAAAGTACTTGCAGGGACTTTATTGGACAGTTTTTAGCCTGTTTCTGATTCTTTTTTTCTCCCCTCTCTTCTTACTTACACTGATTGTCTGTTTAGTACGAAGGTTTTTGTTTGTCTTGTGGGACTCGAGATGTACCCGATGAGTGATGTGCTTCTTACTCTTTTCAAAAGAAAGAAGTGGGACATGCATATGGAGTGGCTTTGAGCGCAGCTGCAGCTGCGTGTGCTGACTGAAGCTGTGGCTGTGGATGTAGCTTCTGTTCTGGCTACACCTGCATGTGTGGTTGGATGTATGATGCTGTGCTGCACTTTACTCCTGCTATTAATAGACGGTAGAGCATTGTTAGCTCACATGGGATGTGAAACCTTTACCAGACGTGTTAGCCGTACTGCACAAACATCATCTGCAGGCAGTATTACGCCTGAAACATTTCCTCCAGCTGTGCTGGTCTCTCATGTTAGAGGCGATTGATAAACTGAACTAAATCATGACAAACACCCACCTGTCTTCCTTCAGATTTCCTTGTGTTCCCTGTTGAATCTGCCTGAGGTCCTCAGCACTTTCTCTGAAGAGTTCAGGTGGAAGACTTCAGAGAAAAGCTTTGATGTTCTCCATCCCTGCACTGATGTTCTCAGTGGAACTGTTCATCAACTGGTTTCTTATGTCACTGCCACCATGAGGCATAATCTCAGCATAATTTAGTATGGTCTGTAATCCACATGGGATTGTGTGTGTGGGGGTGGGGCGGGCTGCCTGGCTTTCAGCTCTCCTGACTCAGACGAGTTATGTAAGGATCATCTGTAGCTGTTGCCTACAAAAGTGTGTGTTGCTGCGTGTATATTTCATGCTGTGAGATAATCTACATAAGATTCGAGGTCAGCCGGAATTCCATTAGCATCAACACAAGTGTGTGACATGAATGAAGTCCACATGAAGCAGGAACGATCGGACACAGTTTGCAGCTGCAGCTCCTGAAAGGCTTCAGCGATTCGAGCTCGAGGCAGCGCGTTTCATGTTTGGTGCTATTGATTAAAATGTGTTTGTCCAAAGCGTCTGTTGTTATGTCGTTGTTTTTAGTGTCTGTGTGGCAGCAGAGACACTGTTCGTGCTCGGTGCCTCACAGCTATTAAAGTAGTGCTGCTGCATCATACGAAGCCTCAGCCGAGGTTTTGCAGGGTGTAAAAATTGCAGAGAAGAACAAAACCTTGGCGCTGTGTTTTGCATGATGACAAAAACTGTGTTACAACAGTCAGGAACATGTCAGATGTGTGTGTCTGTGTTTGCATAAAACAGGCCTGCTGTCGTGTTTGTATTTCTAACCACACGCTGACAATGGCAGTCAGTGACAACAGGCCCGTGCACTCCACGCAGCTGCAAACATACAGAAGCAGCTGGAAGGAAAGGCCTGCACATATGGAGCAGAGGCTGATAACAATCAGACATTAGACGCTGCTTCCCTTGTGATGATGATAGTAATAGTAACTGGAATAAACTGCGTCTGTTCTGTAATTAGATGAACTTATTCTGTTTAAAGGATCGATGGTGAAACAGACAAAGACGGGCAGATTGGTGCCACCTCCACAGCTCTGCTGACGGCGTCCAGCTTGACGGCTCACTCGTGCTGTGCGTCTGACTAGCTAGTCACACGTGTTTTATGTCCTTATCTTGTGAAACCTTCATGAGGAAATATTGCTTTTCTGTACACAAGAAAGTAAATATAATTATGGATTTTAATTAGGACACTCATGCTCCTGCCACCCCCCCTTTTTTGTCGGTGCTGTAGCTCTTTTGTAGCACCATTATGCGAAATGCTTTCTTCTTACACAAGCTAATAACCTGGGGCTGTGTTCATAAAGGACAAACAGCCGTGCGTGGACAAACGACAAAAGAAGACCAGCATCCTGATTCCTTCCAGTGAAATTCAGCCCAGTGTTTACTGAAGGGGGAACAGAAGGGCTCATGCTAAAGCTGGAGCAGCATTTCCACAGAACAGGGAACGTGAATGCAAATTCACGTTCCCTGTAAGTTATTTTTGAATGTGTGTATCAGTGGCCTAATATAGCACAGTTGTTATCTTTGATATGCTGTAGAGCTCTGTTTACAATCTGAACAGAAGCTGGTGGGTGTGCGAGCCTGGAGGAGAAGGGACGATCCAACAGAAGATTTCAGAGACAGAGAAGGCAAACTGAGCTGTGGCTCACTCTGTTAGCTACAAACATGGAGCGGAGGCTATTCCAGGCAGGTGGAGAAGAATACTGAGCTGATGAAGGAAATCTGGTTGGTTCGTCCAAGTCAGAACAACAAAAAAAAGCTGTTAAAAACAGACGGAGAAAAGAGTTAAAGTTCAGGAAATGGGACTGACTGAATGAGCAGAGTGTACTCTGGGACAACGTTCCCTCTAATGTTTCACGTGTCTGAGCGAACACACAAACTCCCTGAGTTTGGACCACTGTGAGCAGCAGCAGGCGTGTGCACTGTGGTCACGCCAGCATCAAATCCATCCAAGTCACATGTTTATTAAAGTAATCAAATTACAGCATTTATGTTAGACTACTTTTAATTAACTGCTTTAGCCCACTTACAATGAAAATTTAAAATATCTTGTTCCTGACCTGCAGCATGTTAACACTACTGGAAGGAAAAATAACTTCAACTCCAATTTTGAAAACACAACTTTCTTTATTTTTAATAAAACTCTGACTTGTATTCTGAGTCTGTGGTCTGGGA